CTACACTAATTCTGGCCATTGTTCCAGGAGAAGATGTTGGTGCCGCCAACTCTTGGCCTCGTCACTAGTGGTTGACGCCGACCTTATAGGCGTGTTCCTGGGATGGTCCTGAGCTTCTCCATATGCTTTGTTCCAAGAGAAGGTGCTGGTGCCGCAAACTCCTGGCCCCGTGCATCGAGTATGAAGCCGACCTCCTAGGCGTGTTCCTCGGACCATTCTTAAGCTGTCTGTGTGGATTCTTCCAGGAGAAAGTGTCGGTGCTACGAACTCCTGGCCCTTTGGTTCCGGGATGACGCCGACCTTATAGGCGTATTCTCTGGCATGTCCTTAAGACCTTTTGGACTCTTATTCCTGGAGAAGATGTCGGTGCCTCGAACTCTTGGCCCCGTTGATTCAGGATGATGCCGATGACATAGGCGTGTATTTCGCGTATCGCGCGTTACATTTTTAACCTTTGTTCCAGGCAAGGACGATGCCTCGAACTCCTGGCCCCTAACTAATATAGCGATGCCACTTTTACGGGCGTGTTTGCCTTCTTGTATGTGGCTCATGCCTAAGTCGCGCGCTGTTATCGCCGATTTGCGCACGTTCGCGGGAAACTTAAATTTTTATGATTGCGTGAGCCGAACGAAAAGGAAATCAAATACTAAATCGGCGTATCAAAACTTATTATTATTGTCTTATGGGCGCAGTCATATTATGCTTACTTACTGGCTTAATTACTATTGAACGCAATGCCATAAGGGCAGCTCAGGGTCTGGTGACCTCCGTTTACATCTATATTAAACGCCAAAGAAAATGCTATGCCATGGATGTTTACGATAACTAATCGGATCGCTGATCGGACTGAGCAGTGGCACTCAACCGCTAGACTTTTAAATTTCCCCAGACTAATCCGGATCAGTGATCCCTGTCTCACAGCAGCACAGCACCGATCCCGCATGGTGGAAGAAAGTTGACGGAGATTATAATTTTATTGAAAGGTAATTCCAGGTAATCCTTTTTATTTGTCATAAATAATTGTACGAAACATAAAATAAAGTTAGTAATAGTAATTTTAAATGTATTTATTTTAATATTTTTGGTCTAAACATTGGATTCCTTTTCATAAAATTAATCTATTCCAAAGTTTGAGGTTATATTGGAAAAACGTAAAATTAATAAAAAAACATTTTATTAATTATTAGATAGATAAAAACTGATGACTGATGATTGATGATTGATGATTGATGACTGATGATTGATCGATGACTGGACATCACCTATAACGTATGAAGGTAGTTCGAAAGACACTATACTGTGGTAAGTTATAAATGTAGATAAAAATTATGCAATTTGTAATTATTCATGTTACAATATGAAAATAAGAATTTATTTGTATCTTTGCAGAAAATATTGAATATATCCGTCGTGCGCAGACACTCGGCGACGGTGTATAAACGAATGCGGAGCTGATCTGCGCGGTTTGCGACAAGACTGACAAGCTGTCGAGGTGCTCGCGTTGCTAAGTCGTCTTCTACTGCACCAAGGAACACCAGAAACGCGACGGGAAACGCCACCGGGAGTTTTGCGCGACTCACCCCGTGGCCGTTGCGTCTACGGAGGAGTCGTTCTCTGCCACCTCTGCTACCTCCGCTACCTCTCTGTCGCTATCGTCCTCGCGAACGAGCGTTTTGACCCAAGATCGGTGAGATCGAGATCCCGTCCAAGCGGCATCCCCTTATCGGCAATCGTCGAGCCTCGACTGCCTTGACAGCCTCGACTGTTCTGAGTGCGCTGGCTCCTAGCCTAAACAGAACCTCGGTCTCGGATGCACCGTGGGACTCGAACGTCACCTCGGAGCCGTGTCGGGACGAGAAGCATTTGGCAGATTCTATTGCGCGAGAAGAAAACTGATCGAGTCAACAAGAACGGAAAGAGAATGAGAATCTTAAGAAGACGTCAAATAGCGGGAAGGCAAAGAGCACGCAAAATAACGAGGTCGATGGCTGGACATCGCCTATAACGCATGAAGATAGTTCGGAAGACACTATACTGTAGTAAGTTATAAATGTAGATAAAAATATGCAATCTAATTATTTATGTTACAATATAAAAATAAGAATTTATTTATATCTTTGCAGAAAATAAAAAAATGGATATGTTTTTAATATGGGATATTATTTTCAATGACGATGAGGAGAATAATGAGGACAATAATGATTGGGAGATAGTACACCTAAGAGAACAACATCTAAAAATCAATAATTTCTTTGAAAATGTCGTTCTTTTTTATTCTTTAACAGGTAATAATAAAATTGTACGCGTTATTAATTTTTTTGTACTTTATATTTATAATAATTGCGATATTATTTTATTATAGATTTTAAATCACATTTTCGTGTTCAAAAAAATACTTTTGAGCAGCTGATACAAACTTTTGGATTAGCGTTATGGGACAATGATGATTCTCCTAAATTACCACCAGCTAAGCAACTTGCTATTGCCTTATGGATTTTTGGCAATCAAGAAGTTTATAGGTTAGTACTTAAAAAATTAAACTATAAGGTTGTTAAGTTTGAAGTCAAATATACTATTCAAATGACATTTATTTAATTTTTGAAAATTATTTTGATAATTATTATGTCTGATTTGTACAAAAAATATTTTGAGTTGTAATACTTTTCTTGAGGGAATTATACGATATACATACAGAACAGTTTATAAATAATAGTTTTATTTTTTATGCATATATTTTTCAGTTTTTGTTGCTGCATTGAAAATGTTTTCTTATTTCAGATCCGTTGCAGATAGATTTGGAGTGTCTAAAGATACTATATGGAGATGTGTTTTTAATGTGGCTTACACGCTAGAGCAATATGTTCAAAATTATATTAAATGGCCAGAAGTTCATGAATTAATAAACATACAAGAAGAATTTGCTGCTATTAGTAATTTTCCAGGTGTGGTAGGCGTCATTGATGGCTGCCACATTCCTATTAGTGCTCCTACTGAATATCCAAACAGTTACATAAATAGGAAAGGATTCCATTCTACATTGCTGCAAGGTATTTGTAATCATAAAATGAAATTTATTGACGTTTTTACGGGAATTTGTGGCAGTGTTCACGATGCCCGAGTTTGGCGGCTAAGTGATATTAAAAATGCGATAGATCATGATAGAGATAGATATTTTCCACAACATAATCATCTTTTAGCTGATTCGGCGTACCCATTATCATATTATATGCTCACTCCATACCGTGATAATGGTCACTTAAACAATATGCAACATAATTATAATACAAAATTATCGAAAACTCGTGTTATAATTGAAAGAGCATTTGGAATGCTAAAAGGACGATTTAGAAAACTAAAATATGTATATATGTACAACACAGAAATGATACCACTAGTTATACTTGCATGTTGCATCTTGCACAATATTTGCATCGATAATGAGGATGAACCAATTGATATGTTAGAAAATGGAAATAATAACGATAATCAGATTTATGCAGTAAATGCTGATGAAAAAAGAGACATTATTGCACATTTATTATTTTAATTATAATTATTATTTTATACACACACATACAAAAAACAAATCTTTTTTATATATAAAAACCAACAATTATTTTGGAAATTATTATTTTATATTATATAACAGATTACGATATATCTTTTATTCAGAACTACTTTCTTGTTTATTATAAAATTAAAAGTGTAAGATATGAATTGTCTACTACAAACAATCATCTTTATAGATTTTCATAACATTTATTCTCTATAAATTATAAAAAAATGTAATAACATGCATTATACGTATATGTAAATAAAAATGTTTAAAACCTATTGTGTTTTTATATAACATGTATATAAAAGAGAAATGTTTACATATACGTGTAATGATATATTGCTACTCTTTAAATATATGTTTATCTATTAACTAAATAACATGTACTTTATATCGATTTTTATAATTTAGAAACTAAATCCGCTAACTCGAATCCGGTAGAATATGTTGCTAGCAATTCTATCAGTTTGTTAGAAAATACATAAATACAAATCAAACAATGTATGCATTCATAATTTTTATTATATTAAACAAAAAGATACATATTTATGTATAATGTATGTAATACATAATATAGCAATTGAAAATGTATGTAAATTAACATATCTTTGGTTTAATCACAACGTAAAACAAATTGCATCAGTCTGCAATAAATAATATTTAATAAACATAAACATTTGTAATAGTATAATATTTTTCACTTTTCTATACCTAAATCAGATTTATATTATTGATGATTTTATCATTGAAGTATACACTGGAAAAAAAAATTAGATCCAAGACAATATTTATTCAGATAGTACCAATGGCTTATTTACTTAATATAATCACATATTTCTTTAGAATTAGATATTTTTACTTAATTTAAGTAAAGATATCTAATTCTAAATAAACATGTGATTATATTAAGTAGATTAAGCCATTTGTACTACACGAACAAATATTTTCCTGGATCTAAATATTTTTTTCAGTGTATGAAAGAAAATTCGCAATGCACATCAAGTACAAAAATAAACATAAAAATTATGCACGTTTTTCTGTTTGTGATATTCTTAAACTAAACTAAAAATACTTCAGTATCACAGTTGTTGTTACAGTAAAGTATCACAAAAATTAATTTATACTTTTCATTTAAGTATATAAAAGAAAATGTGCAATGTGCATTTAAATACAAACATAAAAAGAAATTAGGCATGTTTTTCTGTTATTCTTAAAAATACTTATCAATCACAGTTTTTGTTATAGTTAATTACAAAAACTAATTTATACTTTCTTACTTAATGCAGACGTACACTGGTGACATAATGCACAAATACCCATCTGAAATTAGCTGCATTTTGAGATTTCTGTAGTACATTCTATGAATGGAAATCGGTACACAAGTAGGTATCTTCGTGTGCCATACTTTTACTTTTTTTCTTGTACGTCTTTCTGTACGTTTTCCTGTACATTTTCCTTTTGCACATATTTTTTAAATAACTCCAAAAATTCATTTTTTATTTTTACGTTATCCTCATGATGAACTTTTCTTTGTTCGTAAAGTGTTTTGACCCATGTAGGTTCATCACTTCTTCGGCGTTTCCTAATATTGCGTCCTGTGTTATAAGAAGTATTGGCCGCTGCTGCAGAGTTTTCGTCGGTAGAATCTCCAATTTCCTGTGTAGGTGGACTTGGTTGCCTTATTCTAAATCCATGTGTACTAGAAGCAACTGATACAGGTGCTATTTCGGGTTTGGCATTAATGAAAGCGTCAATGAGATCATAATATTCCCAAGATTCTGTAGCTCCGCCAGTTTGATTATTAAGATCACGAACATTTTTATATCTGCGCTTCAAATTCTTCCATTTAACAGAACATTGTTCCTCTGTTACATTATATCCTCTTTCAATAAATTTATTTGCTATTTTTTTCCATACTTTTTTTTGCATACAATTTTTATTACTCAACATTCCCATATGATTTCTCACTTTTTCTATTAGAAGTTTTGTTGTTTGAACAGTCCACTGATATTTGTAGTTTCCTGTAAAAACAAAATTATACTACATTATACAATATACAGGATGTTTTGACATTTGCAAACCAAAATACTATAGCAAGAAAGTTCTCAAAATAGTTATTTGTAAATTTTTATTTCCAAAAGTTGTTCTTGAGATATAACGTTATTTAGTAATTAAGAGTCCTTAAGAAGGAGGAAAGGGGTTTTGTTATAAAGTAAGAAAGTGGGGTTGATTTATGTTGATAATATTAATAAAATAATAAATACAGAATATGATAAAATTTATATTTTTTATTTGTTTTATAAATTTTATATTATTTAAAAAAAAATAATTATATTTTATTATAATATTTGTTATCTAATGAGATAAATATTAATTTAAAAAAATTTTTTTTATATATATAAAGAAATTTTATTGAATATAATTTTTAATTCGATTTAATAGGTTTTTATTGGGAAGAAAAATGAATTTAATTTTATTGTTTTTATCAGTTTTAACTATATTTATATCTGGGTTAATAGCTAATGTTGAGAATGATTTAAAGAAAATTATTGCGTTATCTACTTTAAGACAATTAGGGTTAATAATAATGATTCTGAGGGTTGGGATAAAAATTATTGCTTTTTATCATTTATTAAGTCATGTTATTTTTAAATCTATGTTGTTTATGTGTGCTGGAATTATTATTCATTCTATAATAAATAATCAAGATATTTGTTTATTCGGAAATTTGAGTAAAGTAATTCCTTTTACTGTAATAAGTTTTTTAATTTCAAGGTTGGCTTTATGTGGGTTTCCATTTATGGCAGAGTTTTATTCGAAGGATTTTATTATAGAAGATATATATATATATATGACGACGGGGTGATTTTTTATTGCATGAATGGAAAAAAATATTATACTAAATTTTTAAAATTAATGAAAAGTAAGTTTATTTTAAAGTAATATGATTTTGGATCATTATCATAATTAATGAATTTTTTTATTGCAACAGGTTTTCACAACTCACACATATAAGAATCATATACATACCACATTGATTTTGCTCCATAACATCCTCTTCATATGGATCCATTTTCAATCGTTTTATTTAACCTGGAATTCAAGTTATTTGTGTATATATTTGTATATTGTTATACGTATGCTCTTGCATGTTACAATGCCTAACTTTATGTAATCTAAGAAAATTAAAATATATAAGAAGAAAAAGAGGATTACTTTCAATTAAAAGAAAATAAACAAGAAATATCATTGAACATTTCTATATAATAAAAGCATTCTATTAAATTGATTTGCTGTAACAAGATCACAAAATGTAAAAATTGAAATTACAACAGATATGATATAAACTTAGGCATTCTAAAAGGCAAGAGAGCACGCATTGCACGTTTAACTTAATAGAATATTTTTTTATGCCAATTTTTATCTATCTAACAATTAATAAAGATCTCACCGATCTTGGGGTCGGAACGCTCGTTCGCGAGAACGATAGCGACAGAGAGGTAGCGGAGGTAGCAGAGGTGGCAGAGAACGAC